GAGGAGTAGGCCAGAGACAGTTTACCATTGCAAATTCTCTGCTGAAGAAAAAGGGACTCTGTATCTTCCTTCTCCTCTTCTTATGTATTATCAGTTGTTCTATCTTCAGTATTCATAATTCTTATTATTGTAATTAATATAAAAATTAAAAATATATATCATATGATTTCATGGGCAAGTTTATTCAAATATTTTGGTAGTCCAAGAATCCACATTTCTAAATTTGGGCAATATGTTCACCAGATTCATAATAATTAGTTTCATTATAATTGTCCTTTGTTTTATTTGTTTTAAATTTTTAAGACTTTGTATTTGGAGAATTTAAAACATACACAGAGTGGTGTAATGAATCTCCATGTGCTCATGGCCCAGCCCCAGTAGTCATCAGTTCATGATCAAGCCTGTCATTCAAATCCATGTCTAATTTTTCTCTTTCCCAATTGTTTTCAAGAAACTTCAGACATCATATTTCATCTGTACAGTATTCAGTATAGGAGCTGGAGATGGAGGTCAGTGGTAGAATGCTTGCTTGACATCCATGAGGCACTGAGCTTGAGTCTTAGCACCACACACACACACAAAAATTCAGTGTATACAGCTAAAAGATGAAGACTTGTTTTTGTTTTGACATAACCATAATATACTACTATTATCCTACTTTAACAAAACAATTCCTTAGAATTATCAAGTATCCATAAAGTGCTCAGTTTCACTTGTCTCTTACATGTCACAATTTTGTTTATGTGAATCAAGATCCAAATCATTACAACAGGCTAATATATTTTTTAAGCTTGTTTTTATTTGTAGTTCCCTGGTCATCTCTGTTTATATGCCACTGTGCTTTCTTTGCTGAAGAAACCAAATGACTTGTCCAGTAGTTTTTCATAGTCTGGACATTGCTAATTTTATCTCCATGGTGTGTTTTGTTTTCCAGTGCTAAGGATCAAACCCAGGGTCTTATACATGCTAGGCAAGCATATATACATATAGTACATAGGAATTAGCTGATACAGTACTGCTAAAATTGAGTTCTGGTCTTAATTACAGAAATGTCCAATGATGAGAATATATCTAGAAAGAAAAGTTTTCTTTCCACACAAAAAGGAATCATCCTAGTGACTAGAAGAATTTTACATAAGACGAACTGTGAAGGGTTTTAAATGGCCTATTGTATCCAAATTATCATTGTACTTAAATTCTTAGTTTTAGAGCTAGAAAATGTTTATTTATAAAGAAGTTTTACATCAATAATTATAAAACATTTGTTTGAATTTTTGTTAAATTGGTCCTATTTTGTATTTTTTCTTAGATTAATTTCATTCACTCATTCAATAAATATTTATTGAGCCATCCCTACCTGCCAGGCATTAGGCTAAGCTAGTGGTGGCGAACCTATGGCACCTGTACCACAGTGGGCACAGAGCCCTCTTTGTTGTCAGGCAAGCCAAACTGCCCCAGCAACTTATCATCAGATAACACTTTTTTCTGAATGAAAACCTCACTATTCAGATTTAATTGCAGAATTGGCACTTTGCAATAAGTAAGTGGGTTTTGGGTTGCAGTTTGGGCCCTTGGTCTCTAAAAGGTTCACCATCACTCATAAGCTATGGGGAATGCAGTAATGAATAAAAAGATTTAGTTCTTGTTCTCATGGATGTTCTAAGTCAGTGTCTTGAAAATCTTTAAATTAATTTAGGTAAAAAATGAAGGAATTAAAAAAAACTTACTGGTTTATGTGAATTCATGAGATTACTGACTTGAGGCACTTTTGGTTCAGAGGCTCGAGAACTTCACTTCTTCCACTCTCCTCTTCTCTGTAATTGACTTCATTTTCAAAAAATCCTTTTTTATTTTGTGGCTTTAGTAGCTCCAGGCTTACATTCTACTACTTCAAGAAAAGAGTCCATTTCTTCCTGGTAATTCCAGCAGAAGTCCCAGCCTTGTATTTCATATGCTAAGTCTGAGTTAAAGGTATTTGATTGAGGGAAAGGGGAGAAAATAGTCAATTTCATTTGAACTACTCAGTCACTGAGACTAGTGGAAAGAATAGTTGCCTAAAAGAACATCATGGTATATTTACTAGAAATGGTGTAATTTGATTCTGGGCAGATAAAAAATATACCACTGGAGTCTGTCCTTTGGTTGTCTAGCAGCCGTACTGTATCAATTAATTTATTGCTGTATAATCACCCCCAAAACTTAGTGGCTTGAGACAGCAACACTTGTCATTCCTCAATTTATGTGAGTCGGGAATCCAGGCATGGATTAGTTAGTTCCTTTGACTCAGATTCTCTCAATGCTGCAATGAAGGTGTTAGTTAGCAGAGCTTTAGTCTTATCTAAAGATTCAAGGAGAGGAAGATTTGCTTTCAAACTTACAGACATGATTGTTGGCAGAATTCAGTTCACCCCTGTCTTTTGCACCAAGGGTTTCAGTTTCTTGTTGGCTGTTGATTTCCCTCAGTTCCTTGTTCCATATGGCAGCTCCCAACTTGTCAACTTCCTTTATCAGAGCAAGTAAGTGAGAAGAGCCCAAGTGTGTAAGCAAGATATAAGTCATGCTTTTTTTTTGTTGTTGTTGTTGTTGTTGTTAACCTGAAATCAAAAGTGACATCTCAACATTTTTACCATATTCTATTCAACAAAAGGAAGCTACTAGGTCCAATCCTGTGCAAGTAGATTTACATAAGGGTACAAATACTAGAGAGTACCTTATCACATATACACACTTGTATTCATCTGAGTGTGATTTAGAAATGCACTACTTAATTCAACTGTTCTATATAAAAAAACAAATCTTTATCCTTTCCCTAAAAGGAAATAATCTAAATGCACCCAGTTATTTCATTGAGCTCCAAGTCTATTCTCCAGGTCTGGAAAACTATATATAAATACAAATTTTAATTTTTCTCTTCCTTTCCCTCTTCCTGTACTACAAGTTTACAATGATGTGTTTCAACTCTTTGCAGTCATTATTCTGTAATGTTCATAAAGTTCTATCTTTGAACAGTTGCCTCCTGCATTCTTTTGGCATGATTTCAGTAGCTTTCTTGCTTTCTGGTGTGACAAGATGTTTGAGGCTTTTGTACATTTGGTGTCCAGACTTGGGGTTAGCCATTTTCCTAGGAATGCCTCACTTCTGTTGGGGGTTGGGTGTTATTTAGAAACCACAGTTGGGTGCTACATGTGCTCCTTGCTACTGATTTGATCATTACTCCTAGACAAAATGTTTTTGTTTTTGATAAGATAAAAATACTTAATGAGTTTATACTGAGTTTCTAATGTTTACAGTTTTACTCTTGATATTTTTACTTGACTCTTCTACAAGAAAATTTTGGTTTCTAAAGACATTAATGATGCTATTATATTCCAAAGTATAGTTTTAAAGTAAAAATAAATTTTAATGTTATGAATACTATTTAATATTTCTTGTTTTTTACAATAGAAGCAAATTTACCTATCTTTGTATCCTTCACTTTCTTAGATAAAAGGTATCATATTATATGTACTGTTCTAAATTTTACATTTTTACTTTATGTCTGGGTAAACACACCATACATCTTTCCTCATTGTGTTACAGTTCTTTAGTGTGTGGGGATGTACCATAATTTAACACAATTTGGGCTGTTTCCAGTCTTTTGCTTTTGACAGTTATGCTGTGATGAATAGCTTGTGCATATATTACTTCCTAGTTTTACTTCATTATTTTGGGATAGGATTCTAGAAATGAGATACCTGGGTCAAAGAGTATACATGCATGTAATTTTGCTGTCTCTTTAATCATGGTTATAGTATTTTGAGGAAGTGGGAGTTGGTCAACAGACAGTGAAACAATAATATACTTGCCTTAGTTTTTTTAGGCTACTGTGACAAAGTACCATAGCCTGAATAGCTTATAAACTACAAAAACTTTTTTTCCTCATGGTTCTAGAGGTCCAAAAAGCCAAGATAAGGTGCTAGTAGATTTGGTGTCTGATGAGGTTCCACTTTCTGGTTTATAGATAGTGCCTTCTTGCTTTGTCCTTATTTGGAAGTCGCAAGGCAGCTCTCTGGGGCCTCTTTTATAAGTGCATGAAGCTTATTCATGAGAGTAATACTAACCAGCTCCCCTGAACCCCACAACACATGAATTTTTGTGGGTACATAAACTAATTCCGATCATCGCAATGCCTGGTAATACTTATAAGAAGTTTGAGTTTATCTTGCTATTTTTCTTTCCAAAGCTTTTCATTGTTCATTAATACTATATCACATTTTTTAAGAAAAATAACATTTTGAGAAGAATTTAAAGAACTAAGTTGCAAATATAATTACATTGTTATTCTGGTTTTCACCTTTTATTATACTGCCTTACCCATTCTGATATTGACCAGTGATTAAGTTTAACTTGCCCAAGACTTTTTCTTAATTTATTGCAGTTTGTCAGTTTCAAGATTTTGGGCCAATATTACCAGTTGTTAAAATTCTTGCAGATAGTCCATTATAAACTTTTATAATAATTTTAACTGTCATAGGCAAATTTCTCTTTGTTAGTTGGTGCTTAGCTTTTTAATATATTATCTCTGTATTTTTACATGTGTAAATAACTTCTACAGTTTGATTTCTTTACTAATACGTTCTATTCCATTTTGGATTTTTATAGCAATTATGTCTCTTTTTTTAGAACCTAAATTTTAAAGTAAAATCTAACCTAAAAAAAGATATTCTTACTCTTTTGGGCAGAAATCATATAGCTTCTTTCCAACTACTTTATGCCACCATCCTTTAACTGTGTCTCAGCATTAAGAGAATCTTTCACTTTATCATTCAATTGCTACATCATTCAGTTTGGCTTACAGGTTAAAAAATCTTTATAGGCCTTTAAAAAAACTTATTTCTAAGAGATTTTTTTGATGTACTGTTATATGATTAGTAGTTAATACATTGACTTTTTTGTGTGTTTCAGAATCTTGCTAACTTACTAAAATTCTGTTTGTTGATATTTCATTTTTCCTTGTTTAGGTTCGGAATGTTCTTAATGATGCAGTGGACATATTGGAATTTCGTGATAGAGTCATTAAAGCATCTTTGAACTGTGCACACTTAGTTGTTTCAACATCTCTTCAATGTTACGTGTTCTCGTAAGCATCTTGCATTTCTTAAAAATCTAGAGTTTGACTGAGATAAGGTATTTATTTTCAGGTTTTCACATCAACATGGTTTGGATTAAACATAACTTTCTCCAAACCTTGCCTATCCTGAACTTACCTTAAACCAGTAAGTAAGAAAAAGTTAAAAAAAAAAAAAGAAAAAAAGAAAGAAAGAAAAGAAAAAGTAAGCTGTGGGTAATGAAAATAGAGGTGATAAAATTTGTGCACCAGAGGTTAATAATCACTTTTATAATAAGAAATGGTTTCTCTAAAATAATGTCTATTCGCATTGCTAAGGAATTTGATTTTGAAACCCAGAGCCTAGCGGCAGCTAATAATTAATGAAAAGAGGAATCACTCATCTACTATAAGAAGGAACACCTAGCAGCCTAATAGGCTGAGTTTTTCAGAATGGACACATGGTATTTAAGCTTAGTACCATAGCGCAGTGTAATCATGTTTTAAGAATAATGAAAGAAAATATATTCATATACTTACTCTATATTAGAGGGTAGGAAATGATAATACACCAAGAGAATTGAACTGGGATCTTAAAAACATATTTGGTATTTTAAAAAGGTAATTACATGTTCTGATAAGCACCAGGCTTGGAGAGGGGTGCAGTGTTTAATGATTTCTGTAATGTAAATACTTCTACTGTGACCAGTTTGAAGACACCAGTGTAATTTTACTGAGAGGAGAGTTGACAGGAGATGCAGACCATTATATAATATTATCACATACAGGATGTAAATAATTTCAAGTGTATGGATAATACTAAAATGTAATAAAATAACCTGGAAATGATAAATTTTGAATGTTTACTACCTTCATTTTGAATATAATTTGCTGAATAGTAAGTTTTTAAAATCTAATGACATTCCTCACAAGCGCAAGGTCCCGAGTTGGATCTCCAGTAACAACAACAACAAAAAAAGCAACTTAAGTTCCTTGGCCTCAAGGACAGCTCTAGTGGTAGCAAAATCTAATGACACTGTATATTAACCATTATTAAACTCTAATTATTTTGTTATGAAATTTTGTTTTTTATAGAATTAAGAGTGCTTTTAGGGGCCGGGGATTTAGCTCAATGGTTCTGCTGTCTGCCTCGCAAGCAGAAAGTCCTGAGTTTGGTCCCCCTCCCCCCCCCAAAAAAGGGAGAGAGAAGTAAGAGTGCTTTTATCTTGATTGATAACTACTTGCATTAAAATAAAAATTTTTTAGAGTTCATTTTAAATTAAGTTTATTGGTACATTTTAGGTATACAATATTATGACATTCATCATTGGGAATTTGTACCTTTACACAATATGTCTTAGTTCTTATTTTTTTCCCCATTCCCCTGCCTTCCATTCAACCCCATCACCCCTCCCTAATTACAAAGACTTTGCTTCCATTTTTTCCTTTTCTCATAATTATTCCTTTCCCTTCCTTCTTTTCCCCTGCCCCTCCTACTTCCACTTCCCCTTTGGACCTTTGCTTCCTGTTTCACATTACTATACATTTTGATCCTTATTTACACTTTCAGTTGTTCATACCAGAGAAACTATTCAGTATTTACACATGTGTCCTATTTATTTCACTTAAGTGTATGGCCTCAATGTGCATCCATTCAGCTATAAATGTCTCTAGTTTCCAGTTGATGAGCAATTGGGCTGTTTCTAAGTTTTCGCTATTACAAACTGTGTTGCTATAAACATGAGTGCACATATATCACTGTGGTATGGATCCTTTAATTCTTTTGGGAAGATACCCAGCAGAGGAATAGCTGGGTCAAATTGGACCTCTAATCTTAGTTTTTGGGTTTTTTTTGGTACTGGGGATTGAACTTTGGTCCTTGCGCTTACGCAGCAGGCAGCAAAACCACTGAACTAAATCCTCAGCCCTAATCTTAGTTTTGCGAGGTATCTCCATATTGATTTCCACAGTGGTTGCACCAGTCTACACTCCCACCAACAGTGAGGAAGGGATCCTTTTTTCCCACAAGTCCACCAGTATTATTGGTTAATTTCTTGATAGCCATTCTTTCTGGAGTGAGGTGGCATCTCAGTGTGGTTTTCATTTGCATCTTTCGAATGACCAGTGAGATTGAACATTTTTTTGTATGTTTATTTGCTGTTTCTATTTCTTTGTCTGAGAAATGTCTGTTCATTTCAGATGCCCATTTTTGGATTGGGTCTTTAAATTTGGGAGATCTGATTTTTTTAAGTTCTTTATATATTCTAGATAGTAGACTTTTGTCTGAGGAACAGCTGCTAAAAATTTTTCCCACATTGTGGGTTGTCTCTCCACACTGTTGGTGGTTTCTCTTGCTGTGCAGAAGCCTTTTAATAAGAAGAGATCCCACTTGTTGATTGTTTGTGCTAGTTCACGGGCAACTGAGATTTTGTTCATAAAATCTTTTCCTACACTGATGTCTTCAAGGGTTCTACCTAACCTCTGTTCCAGCTGGTTCAGAGTTTCTATTTTAATATTTAGATCTTTAATCCATTTTGATTTTAGTTTAGTGCATGGTGAGAGATACAGGTCTAGTTTTAATCTTTGGCAAGTTGAAACCCAATTTTTCCAGCACCATTTATTAAAGAGGCTATCTTTCCTCCAGTGAGGGTGTTTGGCTCCTTTGTCAAAGATGAGGTGTCTGAGTGTGTCTGGTGCTGTTTCTGCATCTTCTAATCTGTTCCACTGGTCCTCAGGTCTGTTTCTTTGCCAGTACCATGCTGTTTTTACCACAGTAGCTTTGTAGTATAGTCTCAAGTTGGAAATTGTGATACCCTCTACCTTGTCCTTTGTTGCCTAGAATTGCTTTTGCTACTCTAGGTCTCTTCTGGTTCCAAATGAATTTTTGGATCGTGTTCTCAAACTCTGAAGTATGCTGTTAGAATTTCAATTGGGATTGCATTAAATCTATATAGCAGTTTTGGAAGTAAGGCCATTTTCACTATATTGGTTCTTTCTACCCAGGAGCAAGGGATGTCTTTCCATTTTCTGATATCCTGTTTGATCTCTTTTTTCAGAGTGCTGTAATTTTCAGAGTAGACATCTTTGTTTCTTTCCTTTGGTTGATTCCTAGGTATTTCATTTTTTTGGATGCTATTGTGAAAGGAGTTGCTTCTCCAGATCCTCTCTCAGTGAGTCTGTTGTTCATGCACTGGAAGGCTATTGATTTTTGTGTGTTGACCTTGTATCCAGCTACTGTACTGAATTTGGTTATTAAGTCTAGAAGACTTTTAGTGGAGTTCTTGCACCTTCTATATAGAGTATCATGTCATTTGCAAATAATGACTTAACTCCTTTGTTTCCTATCTTTATTCCTTTTATTTCTTTCTCTTGTCTAATTGCTATGGCTAATGTTTCTAGAACTATATTGAAGAGGAGTGGTGGTAGTGGACATGATTGTCTTGTTCCTGATGTTAGCATAAAGGATTTCAGTTTTTGACCATTTAGTATGATATTGGCTGTTGGTGTTTCATAGATGGCTTTTATCAATTAAAATAAAGACTGTCTATTCCAATTTTCTGTAGGGTTTTTATCATGAATGGGGGTTGGATTTTCTCAAACACTTTTTCTGCCTCTACTGAGATGATCATATGGTTTTTATCTTTGGCTCTGTTAATATAGTATATTACATTTATTGATTTGTATATGTTGAACCATCCCTGCACCTGGGTTGAATCCCATTTGGTCTGGGTACATGATCTTCTTGATGATCTTCTGCATTCTTTTTGCCAGTATCTTATTGAGGATTTTTACATCTGTGTTTATTATGGAGATTGGCCTAGAGTTCTCTTTTTGTTAGGTCTTTCTCTGCTTCTGGAATCAAGGTGATGCTTGCTTCCAGGAATAAATTTGGGAGTGTGGCTTCACTTTCAATTTCACTGAAGAGTTTTAACATTAGTGGCAATAGTAGTGGCAATAGTTCTTCTCTAAATATCGTGTAGAATTCAGCAGTGAAGCCATCAGGACCCATCTGGCTGGGGCCTCTGCACCTGCTCAGCTGTTTTCCAGGACCCAGGCTCTTCCCTGAAACCTTCCTCTTTTCCATCTTCTGGGTGAGAATATGAGATTTAAACCAATTTAAAAAACTGGTTCTATGAAAGTTATTGAGAATCATTTAGAATATATAGGAGTAATGAAAATATTTTAAACTGTGAAACAACTGATTGAGAATGGAGTTTTCCATTTCTTCATGCAGCCCAATCTTTGAATCATATTATCCTATAGAAATGAAAGGAATGATTTATTTATTCATTATTCAATAAGCATGATTATAATTTATATTTATATAGTATTTTACAGATTATAGAATGTTTCACAGAAATCATTTCAATAATATTAGGGGACCTATAGCAGAAGATAATCCTGTTCACCTTTGATTGTTATAGTTTCGGTTTGTTTGGTACCCGCTATGTAACAGTTTGCCAGATACTTATGTGATTTATTAAACCCCATGTTACAAATAAGGGCATTGATGTTTTAGAAGTTAAGCTTGTTAGGATTATTTTTTTCAGTATGGGGAATTGAACTCAGAGTCTTCACACTAAGCTGTGCCTCCACCCCTCCCCCTTTAATTGTTCTTTTTATTTTGAGACAGGATTTTACTAAATGCTGAACTGCCTGGGCTGCCCCCAAACTTGCAATTCTCCTTCCGTAGCCTCCCATGGTGCTAGGATTACCACTGCATACCATGGTGCCCAGCTAAACTTGTTAAAATCATAAGGCAACCCAGACCTATTCTCTTCTCACTATGCCATGCTGCCACTGTTTTTCAGATGAGAAACATTAGATGACTTTCACACACTCACAGAGCTAATAAATAGCAGAACTGGGACTTATGTTTAGAATTCCTTAATTTGTGTATTGTAACACCTACAATAAATATTATTAAATGCCTACTATGTACTAGTTGCTGGGGACAGAGTCTGTTTACTGGTTGTCAATACAGACATGAAAGAATAATTTCAGAACATTGTACCAAGTGCTATTAATGAAAGGATATATATAATTACTGTGGAATTATAATTGTTTTATTTAAAAGTATCTAGTATTTTAAGTGTTAATAAATGCACATGCTTTGTCTTTTAGTACGAAGAACTGGAATACACCACTTATATTTGATCTCAAAGAAGGAACTGTTAGTTTAATTCTACAGGCAGAAAGGTAATTTGTTTATTATTTTTATTCCATTTAGGGCTAAATATCTCATAGGGATAAAGCATTCTTTAAAGCATCCTATTCATAGAAAAGTACTTTAATGATTTGGAATCAAACTGTTTCTGTTATATATTTCAGAACTAAAGATCTTAGACCAGTAGTTCTGAAACTTTTATTTTTGCCTTATAAAGTATGTTA